CTGCGAAACAGATTCGTAACGGCGACGGCGACGGCAGAAACAGCTTTGGGACATCCCATTAGCCAACGTACAGTACTACGACGACTTCGTGCTGCTGGAATCCGAGCGTATCGTCCTTTCCGAGGAATGGTACTGACTGCTCAACATCGACGCCTCAGACTGCGATGGGCGAGGCAGGTTCGACGCTGGCAAGTGAGACGTTGGCGTCGAGTGCTGTTTACTGATGAAAGTCGGTTTAACTTGTTTCAAAATGACGACAGAGAACGAGTTTATCAACGCAGAGGGGAACGTTTGGCTCCGGCGTGTATTAATATTCGAGAGGTCCATTCATTCGGCGGGGGAGGTATCATGGTGTGGGGCGGTATTTATGTAGATCAGAAGACTGATTTGGTGATTATACAGGGAAACCTGAACGCTGTGCAGTACAGAGACCATGTGTTGCAGCCAGTTGTGCTTCCGTTCTTACAAAACCAACAGCAGGGGACATTGTTTCAACAATGCCAGGCCCCATACTGCAAGACTGACTCGGAACTTTCTAAACCAGCAGAACGTTGACGTTTTGCCCTGGCCTGTCCACTCACCCGATATGAATCCTATTGGACATCTGTGGGACCATCTTGACAGATTAGAGCACGCCATCAGCCTCCCGTCAACAGACAAGAATTGCAGCAGGCCCTGAGAGACGAATAGCATCGGAAGACTGACGTCATCGATGAGGCGGCGTATCACAACATGCAGGAAGCTGGAGGTCATACACGCTATTGAAGGCAACTGTGTCGACAATGAATTTGTGGTGTGTCTGACTTTGGATAATGAAATTTCAATCAATCAATCATTTGTTACCCCTCCCTAGATTATATTATAATTCACAACAAAACCTCTTCTTGTTATTTATTTATCGATCATGGAACTCGACCTATACTTTCTTTTGCCGCCCAGTTTACTATGTATCCCGCCTGAGAGGGAAATACATAAATCCCTTATACCCCGCCATGATGAAAACAGGCTACACATGGATTACTGAGCATGAGAATAAATCCTTTATACCCCGCTACGATGACAATCGAACAGCTGTTTTCTATCAATTTGTTTTAACGTGTTTACAATGGCAGATTGAAACATGTTGGCAGTATGAATTCGATGTAGCAGTACCAATCGGACATATGTGTTTTTATGCATCCTTCCAGCTCGTGGTATAAAACCTAACGCGGGACACATAAATTCACCTACACCCTCCGTGATACTGCTACAACCTATAGTATACGAAAGCCTGATGATGCCACTTTTGTACCATACTTTTTCTTTTTTTTCGATTATTTTCTCGTTACTTCGTTATTATAATTATCATCTCGATATGGAATAAACTTGAAATAACGAGAAAATAATGGAAGTAACGAGAAAATAATCGAAGCAACAAGAATAAACTCGATATAAGGACAAAAACATCGAATCAACGAGAAATAATTGAAATAACGAGAAAATGATCAAAATTTCGAGAAAATAATTGAAATAACGAGAAATTTCGATTTTAAAAAAAAATGGTACTAAAGTGGCACCATTAGGCTTTCGTAATAGTAAACCAATGCGTACTCGGAATGTACAGATAGTTGACGGGCAAATGAGGTCGAGTCGGAGCATGTGACATACCATGTTCAGTTAGAGGACCAGGCAAAAAGCTCCTAGGCATTAACAACACGCCCAAGTCCAGCGATTAGAAGCGGCATGACTGTTAGACCGGGAACGAGTCTATCATATTTCATTGATCAAGCACAGAGTTAGCACTCCTTGTCAGGGTTATTTACTTATCTTTCGTGCAAACATAATGTTAATGAACTTATCCAGCGTTTGTTTGCCTGTATATCGTGTATACATATCCTGTCTCTGAACACGCGCTGTGAATAGGAACAAAGCTTGGTCAGACAACAATCTCCTGCAGTCACCATGGAAACGTCTCGTGAGATAACCAGCACGTTAGGGTCGACGGTCACATTATACCGATATATATATCGGTATATGGTCTACGGTAACCTTAATTCAAAAGCGTCCTGGGCCCACTTGGACAAAACATTCTTAGCGCTACGACTATCGTAAGTCTATGTTGAGTACGGGAGTAACGATCATCCTAACGCTAAGATCACTTTGAGCATGTGTACCCTGGTTGCTGATATAAGGAGTTAACTGACTGTAAAAGTCAAGTTTCGACCCTTACCGAACTAAGCTGGTTTTTGGGGGGCTCGATCGTAGCCACCAGTATTGACCAATCAGCTTTCATCTCTCATATCACTTGCATTTGCTTCAAACAAAATGGCGTCGCCCTGTGAAGACGACCAGATCGATAATCAAGGTCTATATTGTAGTAAAACGTGTCTTACTTCGCGACGTGTATCAAATCACGTTAGCACCTTGATTTTAAAACATGGAAAGATTTTGAATGGTGCAATGTTTGCATCGCATTCTAAGCATCTTCCGCTGTGATGTGCCTGGACTAAATACGAAATTAATGTGAAACCTACCCCACTCACTAACTCTATTGAAAGTGTCCGATCTTCACCTGTTTGGAAGGTTATTCATATGCGGTTTAGTACTGCTATCATTTGGAATATCCTTTGTGGTTTTTTTAAATTGCCTTTGTACTTCGACCTTGCTGAAGGCTAAAAGAATATCATGGTCATTAGCTCAGCCCTGTTCTCCAAAGTTGACGACATCTGGTATATGTTTAGCTAGTAGTGAAGCTCAACACATGTGACGTTGTTCGTGATATGTTATATTGATTACATATATGTGACCCTGGCATGCTGACCATGCTCCTCAATTCTTACATAATTTCCTCGCACAGTCAACATCATCTCCTCAGCATCAGGACCATTTGAAGCTGACATCAGATGCTTGTCACTTGATACCCCAATGCGAGCCTGGCCACCCGATCCCGTTAGTCGCCTCTTACGACAAGCATAGTCACATCGAACGCACGCACGCACGCATGCACGCGCACACGCACACGCACACGCACACGCACCCACACATACACACACATACACACACACACATACATAGCAGTATAGTTGTAACAAATGACAAGACAAGAGAAAAATATGTTTATTCATACCACTCATTCATATAACTAACAACAAAATGCCATGCAAAGCACACAAGTCGTAGTAAACCAATCATAGGATGTTATATATAGAATCAACTTGGCTGAGAGGACGCCATTGACTCTCGTCCAAACAGGGCTCCGAGAGGCTCAGCTTGTCTAAGAGGACGCCATTGACACTAGTCCATACAGGGTTCCGAAGGCTCAGCTTGTCTAAGAGGACGCCACTGACTCTAGTCCATACAGGGCCCCAAGAGGCTCAGCTTGTCTCAGAGGACGCCATTGACACTAGTCCATACAGGGCTCCGAGAGGCTCAGCTTGTTTAGGAGGACGCCATTGACACTAGTCCATACAGGGCTCCGAGAGGCTCAGCTTGTCCAAGAGGACGCCATTGACTCTAGTCCATACAGGGCTCCGAAGGCTCAGCTTGTCTAAGAGGACGCCATTGACTCTAGTCCATACAGGGCTCCGAAGGCTCAGCTTGTTTAGGAGGACGCCATTGACTCTAGTCCATACAGGGCTCCGAGAGGCTCAGCTTGTCTAAGAGGACGCCATTGACTCTAGTCCATACAGGGCTCCGAAGGCTCAGCTTGTTTAGGAGGACGCCATTGACTCTAGTCCATACAGGGCTCCGAGAGGCTCAGCTTGTTTAGGAGGACGCCATTGACACTAGTCCATACAGGGCTCCGAGAGGCTCAGCTTGTTTAGGAGGACGCCATTGACACTAGTCCATACAGGGCTCCGAAGGCTCAGCTTGTCTCAAAGGACGCCATTGACTCTAGTCCATACGAGGCTCCGAGAGGCTCAGCTTGTCCAAGAGGACGCCATTGACTCTAGTCCATACAGGGCTCCGAGAGGCTCAGCTTGTTTAGGAGGACGCCATTGACACTAGTCCATACAGGGCTCCGAAGGCTCAGCTTGTCTCAAAGGACGCCATTGACTCTAGTCCATACGAGGCTCCGAGAGGCTCAGCTTGTCCAAGAGGACGCCATTGACTCTAGTCCATACAGGGCTCCGAAGGCTCAGCTTGTCTAAGAGGACGCCATTGACTCTAGTCCATACAGGGCTCCGAATGCTCAGCTTGTTTAGGAGGACGCCATTGACTCTAGTCCATACAGGGCTCCGAGAGGCTCAGCTTGTCTAAGAGGACGCCATTGACTCTAGTCCATACAGGGCTCCGAAGGCTCAGCTTGTTTAGGAGGACGCCATTGACTCTAGTCCATACAGGGCTCCGAGAGGCTCAGCTTGTTTAGGAGGACGCCATTGACACTAGTCCATACAGGGCTCCGAGAGGCTCAGCTTGTTTAGGAGGACGCCATTGACTCTAGTCCATACAGGGCTCCGAAGGCTCAGCTTGTTTAGGAGGACGCCATTGACACTAGTCCATACAGGGCTCCGAAGGCTCAGCTTGTCTCAAAGGACGCCATTGACTCTAGTCCATACGAGGCTCCGAGAGGCTCAGCTTGTCCAAGAGGACGCCATTGACTCTAGTCCATACAGGGCTCCGAGAGGCTCAGCTTGTTTAGGAGGACGCCATTGACACTAGTCCATACAGGGCTCCGAAGGCTCAGCTTGTCTCAAAGGACGCCATTGACTCTAGTCCATACGAGGCTCCGAGAGGCTCAGCTTGTCCAAGAGGACGCCATTGACTCTAGTCCATACAGGGCTCCGAAGGCTCAGCTTGTCTAAGAGGACGTCATTGACTCTAGTCCATACCGGGCACTGATACTGACACTGGAAGGGGGTCTGGCTGGGCTTTTGTGTGGAGATTCAATATTGTTTTCAGCTATATCCTCAAAAGCAGATAAAAAAAATTAAAGTTTTAACTATGAGCCTGAATAGTTTTCTGAAAAGTTTTTAATGAAAAACACATTGCAACAATGTAATACACTTTTCTCCGATTAAATTCCCCATCCCCCACCCCTTAATCAATTAATTGTCGGTCCCTAAGGCAAGAAGACGATATTCCAGATGTCCATCGTATCATCCGTTTGGTTAGAGTAGTCACTGTTTAACCCAGAGTATATCATTCGGCCATGTTATATAGCTTGCGGGCGACAACGTCCTCACTCTGCTCATCGTCATGGGCTTGAAATTTTTGTTAACAAGGAAATCCCTTATTTTGGGGCCATTTGGAGTCCTTTTTATTTGAAACCATTCCATCATAATATCACGGATATCAATTTTAGAAAACAATTGCTTCCCTTCTTTCAAAACCTCATATTCATGGTTCTCCACATCAACCTTGATGAAGGCTTTGGGGAAGTCAACAAACTGCAAGATGTCGTCCAGACGAACAGTCGAGATGAAATCTGGATTGTAGTTGTCGTTGATGTCAAACGTTGCGTTCGGGACTTGTTTGATAACGGTACCTCCTATATTTGCTTTTTCACGCTTGAAGGTGACAGTTCTATAGTCATCCGAGAGAGCTGCAAATAAAATAGTGATCCGATCCGCCAATTTCGCCTCCTGTGCAGTTGCGCACAGTCTCATGACGTTCTCAACAAGCGGGTCCACAGCAACAACACGACGTCCCATCAACGCAGCCGTCAAGGAATACGTCCCTAGTTGAGATCCAAGGTCAAGGACTCCCATATCTGCACTGTCCCTTAGTATTGAGATCATTGTGTTAACTCCTGGAGATTCCCACATTCCAGATCTCTGAATTGACCCTGACACATGGATGTCGTCTTTAACGTTATGAATGTACATCTTGATAGTACCGACCGGGGTTCGGAGTTGGGCAGAACTAAACTTGTTCACTGCAGAACAGAATCCTGGAATCAGAACCCATTTGCCTTGTTTCCAACGGTACACGCCAGTCTCGAGTTTGGGCGCATGGGTCATCTTGACCTGTGTCGGCATGGGCTGAGTGTCTGGAATGACACGTGCTTCATGATGAGGTGTGACCCGTGGATCAATCACTCTTGAATAGTGAAGAAAATGGAAGATAAAGATAAGAATTATTCCAGATACTCCAAGACACAACAGACGCCACCATTTATTCCATGGACTCGCCATCGCGAGAGTAGTGGGCTCCTCTAAGAAATGCTATACGTTGGACGATCGGGTTGTGGTGACGCAGCATATGTAGGTCATCCTGGCGAAGCTTTGAGGACATTAGCCGTTCCTATGAATGAGGAATGACAATATAAATAATAAACAAACACTATTGCCTAACACGGAAGTAATCAATCTTAATGCAAGTCACGAAGCAGTTGTTGGAGTGTAAACACAATGGTAAATGTCACAGCAGTTCAAATCGATCGCAATATCGTTGGACTAGAATCGTTGACCGTCCCCTGGAATGTCAATGGCCGTCACATGTCAAACACCATTAAAACTAGGGCTGGGACGAATATTTACTACCCGGGAACCCATCACCCTATTACCTGACCTTACCCGGGTACCCGCTGTAGATATCTAGAGATGGGTACAAACTGTCCGATTTGTAAAAAGTTTGACCTTATCCCTGGCACAATGTATTTATATACACGTGTAAAGCGATCTGGTCATGCATACACTGATGTTTACTACATGAAGCTCATGAATCTTAATTCAAATATATACAAGTCAGAAGAATGGGTGCATAGTCAGAAAGAAATGGGAACATCAGTGAACTGTAGTGTAGTTTAGATCATTTTTTGTCATTCAACAATTATATTACGTGACTTACCGCGCGTGCGGGTAGTCCTGTGGGTACCACTCCACCCGGGTACCCGAGTTACCCGTCCCATCCCTAGTTAAAACATACCAGGCTCAAACAATGACGCGTCTTCATTTGTTTTTTATAGAACCCTTGTACCTCAACTTACCTGGTTAACTGTGACACCGTCTTCAGTCATATACCGGCGAAGACGCCGAGGCGTGTATTCATTCCTATCTCTCCGGGCTCAATGGGTGATAAGTGACCTGATTTCATTCCTCGCGACCTTTTTACGCACTGTGTAGAGCCACGTGTGTCAATCAGACTGACCGAGCGTTGACTAACAGGGAAGTCATAAACCTGTGAAATACCGTCTACTCTCTAGTGTGCATGTACACATTGCATAGTGTGAACCTCACTGGGGGATTATAATGCATTGAATAGAATCTGTTGTGCTGGGACCACAATGCACGCGTGATTGTGGTAATACGTCCCACACTGAATATACCCTGAATACACGTCTTGATACGAACCCTCAACTTTATCGATTCAGTCACCCGGCCGACAGGTTGTTTCACTCGCAAAGGGTTATCTCTGAACGACATTAAAGGGTGCGTGTTTCCAACGCACACACCTGCCACTTTACAAGGCGTTAGAATATAATGTTGAAACACAAAGCAGACATCTGGAATATTAAGCCGATATTGAGGTATGGATTATGGATTACATGGATGCTGTATATTGCAATGTTACCATGCCTAATGATGGGATGGGATTCATATAACTAATGCTGTTAGAGAGAGAGAGAGAGAGAGAGAGAGAGAGAGAGAGAGAGAGAGAGAGAGAGAGATGTTTATATATATATATATATATATATATATATATATATATATATACTCTTCAAACAAAGAAACTTGACACTGACTTTCAAAATGTAATAATATGCGATTGTATCAAAATAGGACACAGACACCATAATTGAAACACTGTTTGAAGATCAATGTACACAATGTTCAAAACATTAATCGTGTCACCTAGACAGACACACATACACGGTACAGTTAATGTCACAGGGGTACAGAAAATGTCAGTATCGGTTGTGCCCACCACGTGCATCAATTACCGCTTGACACAGACGACCCATAGATGCAATCAAGTTGTCAATAACACGCTGTTGGATGTGCTGCCATTCATGCTGAAGTGCATCGGGTGAGGTGAAATGGGGTTTAACGTCGCGTCCAAGATTATTGCACTTATATAGCGACGTGCATGTACGTGTGTGTGTTTGTGTGGCTGCTTGTACTAGTCCGGACTGATGCCGATTTATAGTGCTAGCTCACTGAGATACCAAGCTGCAGTTTAACACGAATACCCCACTCAGACAGAGTATACTGACTCCGAGCCGACCAGTCCTTGCTTAAACCCCTTAATGCCGAGCGCCAGACAGGGTAACAACAAGTACCATCTTTTAACTTCTTTTGGTATGACGCGGTCGGGGATCGAACCCCGGACCTTCCGCTCCCCGGGCGGACTTTCTACCACTTGACCACGGAGGCGGTCCTGAAGTGCATCAAGAAGCGCCGGAAGTTTTTGGTGCGGTGGATTCCTTCTGCGAACGCGTCGATCCAACTCCTCCCACAGATGCTCAATCGGGGACAAATCTGGTGACCGGGCTGGCCAAGGTAATGTCTGGATGTGGTTGTGCTTTAAGAAGTCCTGACAAACACGTGCAATATGCGGTCGAGCGTTGTCCTGCTGGAACTGTCCGCCATGAACGTTGACGTGAGGAAGAACGTAAGGCTGTAGGATCAAGTCTCTGTAACGCACACCTGTCAATGCACCTGCCACATGCACGAGAGGCGTCCTATCACCGTGATGAATTCCGGCCCATACCATGACACTCCCGCCGCAAAATGGGACAACCTGCTGCACACAGTTGGGAGCGTAACGTTCACCCCGACGTATGTAGACACGTGCGCGCGCATCAGCACGTGTGAGGAGGAAACGGGACTCGTCAGTATATTTTTCTCCACCTTGCACGTGCCCATCTAACCCTCTGTCGGCACCAAAGAAGACGGTCCGCCAGATGACGTGGGGTCAATACATGACGTCGAACAGGTCTTCGTGCAAAACGTCCAGCCTCCCTCAGTCTGAGCGTGCCGTTTGATCTGATATTCTGCGTACCCCAGGGATCTGTGTGGTTGTATCGCGTCCACAATGCGGAGATTGTCTGTCTGGATATGCCAAAGTGCCTGGCCACTTCTTGCTGAGTTGCTCCAGCTTGTAATCTCCCATTGGCGTTGTTCCGTTGAGCTGCATTCAGTCTTTGCATTCTTTCACCGCCTCTACTGCCGTTATAACGACTGTATGAACAGCCGTTGATGTGGATTTTTATACCCATTCAGCAGTAGGGCCTGCATGCCTAAATGCAGTATCCTGTGCTGCACGTTTTTTACAGGCGGTTGCGTTTGGTTGAAGCTGTCAAGTTGATCCCCAAACGCTACGTTTATGTGCTTTGCATGTGTTTTCGCGAATTATAGACGCATCATCTTTCTGTTTGACTTATTTGGTTCTCATTTAATGTAATTATTTTAGATATTTGGCAAAAAGTGGTTTTACATATATGTCTAGTTTCTTTTTTTGAAGAGAATATATATGGAGACAGAGAGAGGGAGGGAGATGTATATGTTTGGAGAGAGAGAGAGAGAGAGAGAGAGAGAGAGAGAGAGAGAGAGAGAGGGGGGGGAGGGGAGAGGGAGGGAGATATGTTTTGTATATATATATATATGAAGAGAGAGAGAGAGAGGGGAGAGAGAGAGAGAGAGGGAGAGAGAGGGGGGAGAGAGAGAGAGGGAGAGAGAGAGAGAGACCCATTGGGTTGAGTATGTGTAGATGTGTAGCCACTTTCTGTGAAAAGGAATCGATCGCACCAAAGTACAGTTGATTAACACTGTACTCAACAATATTCCAGCAATATGTCGGCGGCCTGTAATCCTTGACAAGACAATCCACTGATTGATGTTATGAGCAACGATCCATGCGTCTGATCCTGACCTCCTGCGACCAGTAATGGGGTGCTGGGGTTAGATACAGCACCGCGTCCCCACTTCGTTCCACCGCAGTAACAGCGCGTCCCCACTTCGTTCAACCGCAGTAACAGCGCGTCCCCACTTCGTTCAACCGCAGGAACAACGCGTCCCCACTTAGTTCCACCGCAGTAACAGCGGATGTGACCATGCTTAGCGAATAGATAACACTGCCAACGTATGTGCAACACCTGTAACAACATGCATCACTGCGCCAAATAATCGACTCTTGACAGGATAAACCAGAGTTTTACACCACGAGAATGGATATCGATCCACAAAATTATGATAGCAATACATGAAATCCCCCATTTATAAGCAACGCCCCATGCCATCGGGACGACCACCCGATCTATATGGCCGCCTCTTGAGACAAGCTCGACACCTAGTCCAACACGGAATTTATGAGGTTTTTCTCTATTTACAAATGTAGGTATACTGGTGCAAATTTCATGACGTGTCTTAGGCTAAGGGGTCCATGCTTATTTTTTGTGAAGCATTTATCTCATTAAACACACTATATACATCAGGGAGAGTTAGCACTTTTAATGTTTAACCACAAGAGTGAGTGAATGTTAGTCATACTTGTTAAAATAGAGTCCACGTTAGATGCAGTAGTTATTATGGGGCGGTCGGGTAGCCTAGGTGTTAAAGCGTTGGCTCTTCACGCCGAAGACCCGGGTTCGTTTCCCGGTATGGGTACAATGTTTGAAGCCCATATCCCCCGCCGTGATATTGCTGGAATATTGCTAAAAGCGGCGTAAAACCATTCGCTCTCCCCCTCCCTCCGCTGTGATTGTAGCGAGTGTATTTCAAAACGGATCTAACGAGTGCGACCACATTTACTCTATTCTAAACGTATATACTACCGACACAAATAAGGGGAACAACTGATTTGAATGTCGCTATTGTTTGGGTGTACATTTATAATACCGGCAGGTCGCCTGAAAGCAAGGCGTCCTGTGAAGGGTGTGACCCAAAGAGCTTACCATAGGCAGCACAGATTAAGTGAGCTAGGCACATACAGGGAATGGCTGTGGGCGATGTATAAAGACGAATCAAGGCTTTGCCTCAGATTCACAGATGGCAGAATGCGCTTTTGGCGACGTAGTGGTATGCCCCAGTATACAACATGGGGCGGTAGTGTCATAACACATGACAGGCGAACTGATTTGGCCATTGTAACCAAACATTTGACTGGCCAATGATATGTTTGCGAAATTTTGCGTCCTTTCGTTGTTCCATTCGCTGGAATCATCGGCAGAAATTTTGAACTGCATGATGACAATGACAGACCACATCGTGCCCAACTAGTCAGCGATGTTCTCCGACGAGAAGGTATACGGACATTGGACTGGTCCGCTAAGTCCCCTAACATGTTCCCAATAGAGCACCTGTCGGGTTTGGGGGGCACGGGTGGCCCAGTCGTCTAAGGCGCCGCGATTCGCTGTGCAGAGTTGCGTCCCTTGGGCACGCCAGAAACCTATGATTGTGGTTCGAATCCCGGTTCGACCGATTATGTTTCTAGGTTTGTCAGCACCATACCCGTCCTCGTGGGTTTCACCGAAGTGGTAAACGTCTGAGACCTGCATCACTTCGGTCTTTCCTCTCACATTAAGCTGACACGCCGCGATATAACTGGAATATTGTTAAAAGCGGCGTTAAACCAAACTCACTCACTCACCTGTCGGGTGTTCTCGGGCGGAGAATGTTCGCCAGAGACCTGGCACCAACCCACATGGTCCACATTGGGTAGCTCTTCGGGGAAATGGCGGGCAATACCACGGGCAACCATACGAAAGTTAATCAACAGTAGGTGGCGTCGTCTAACGGGGTGGACACACCAAGTATTGATCTACACGCCCGATATTAATGGTACAGACATTTATCATCATTACACATTCAATATCATATCCTCAGCTCCCTGATTATTTGTCGCTAGTATATTTGTTCGCCAAACCTGCAATAGATCACTGGCAAGTAAATAATTCAATGTTTAGTAGTGTGCCCATGCTTCTCTGATGTTTTTTGACAATTTGTAGTGTATATCGGGATTAGATCATGTAGACGTTGCAGAGTACAACTGCACAGTGTTACTAACGCCTCCATTCGAATTACTGGCTGATGCCAAATAGACACCCGTCCGCAGGTGATGTTATTAAACGTGTGGCAATGTACAGGGGCATGTAAAATCGTGGACAATCAATATGAATAAATGATGTCAAAAAAACAACAAAAAAACAAAAAAATTTTTTTTATTAAACGTGTGTTCTCTGCACGGGGGAGTAATCGAAGCTGTTATTGCATATTGGATAACGATGACTAGGAGGGCAGACAATACGTAAAGACATTATGAGTGAGTGAGGTTTTACGCCGCTTTTA